CTATTTTCACTTACAGTTTCACTTCATTATCTGCTATGTAAAACTATATTAAAGCTATCAAACTATAAAAATTAGCAAGAATTTACACGTAAAAAGCGCATAAAAATGGCAACGATAACGTTTAATCAGTTTATTTCTTTTTGTACTCGCTTACCTGAACAGCCGCCGCTTCCAAATGAATGCGTGCAACGTTATTATTCGTCGATTCAAGTAAAGTTCTAAAGGTTATAGATATTTACCATATTTTACCAACCTGTAAACATTTTCTACACTCTCCCCATTAATTAGAAGATGAATGGCTCGGCAATATATCTCGCACAGGACCGCTGGCACGGGATGGCAATGCGTCAATGCGACATCTTCAGCGATATATGGTGCCCATCTAGGAGTACGGTAACAAGAACACTATATTAAAAGCTACTCCTCAAATGGTCGTCTCCAATAAAACACAGGCAACGGGCTGATCCGCATCAAACATCCGTTAGACTGAGATTCGTCATTCCATTTTGCCACGTTCGATAGAAGTGTCGTGAGTACCCTAAAATCAGAAATTATCAGATTTTCTAGAGACTTCTGCGGTGCTTTGGCATTATCGGGGGGGGGGGGGTGTTGGAAAGGTTGTTCACTGTTCCTAAACGCAAAGATTTTATAAATTTTCATTCAAAAATAAAAAATATCGGTTTTTCAAACAAACTTTCAAAATTTTCTGAGTTTTTAGATGGTTTTTCCGCCACCTAGAAAAATTTTGCCGCCCCCCCGATAATGCACAAGGGCCAGCTCGGCTTTCTTGCCTTTTTCTTTCCTCCACATCCCACTCCTTTAGCCATTCTTTCGGGATTCTCTTGTCTAAAACAAAACGTTAAAAAATTTATATTTATCTTAAGCCATCAGACTAACCAATCGAAACGGCGGAAATTGTCGTATTTCCAATATCTGGTGGTGCTGTTTGACACCAGCTGTAAAATTAATTAATAGGGAAAATGTTCTTTCAATTACCGTGCATAGGCCACAGCCGTACTCGCTTGATCGAAGCGATTTTGGGCCAATAAGACGCCGGAGAGAGATAGTGCCATTTCGCTATCATCGGTTATCTAAAAGACATTCAAGAAATTCTATGGCTTTTGCAAGTATTTTACTACGCTATTGTTTTTAAGAGTATTTAGAATGAGTATTAATTAATGCTTTCTAAAGTTAGAAAAGCTTTACAAAGAACTTTACTTTAAGCGTAAAAAAATCCGATTAAACAGCTATTTAATGCACTGTTTTTCCAAATAACGTTTAGCAATGATTTAGCTTCATTGACAATCATTTAGGTATCGAATAAACTTTAAAGCGCATAAAATAAAGCATTAAACACTGATTTAGTGCATTATTATTTTTTTAATGAGACTATAGATGTCGTAGAAGTTTATAAGTTAGAAAGTCTGAAAAAAGTTTCTACGATTTCTTATTATAAAATTTTTATTAGGAAAATTTTCATATTACCTTTATGCAATTCTATAGCTCTTGAAAACTTTATTAAACTACAAAGTCTAACCAGCACCAAATAACGCAAAAATTTACATGGCAACTGATAATACCCCGCCGTATCCGCTGCCTACCCGACCCTTGAGAGGGGCGCTGGGGCCCCTCTCCCATGACTCCTTGGCGCAATGGTAGCGCGTTCGACTCCAGATCGAAAGGTTGGGTGTTCGAGTCACTCAGGGGTCAAAATTTTTGCTTTTTGGTCCAAAAGCCGGTATACATGCGAAAAAGCTAATCCAATTGCAAAAAGTCATTTTGCTACTTTTATGTGTGTTTTTCGAGGGTTTTACGGACCGTTCCTGGAGGTAAGTTGAAGCACCCTCCGCCCAGCATTGCCAGCTCTCCAGTCTCGGCCATGTCCGTGTCAAGCTAAAAGATGTAAAGAACCCGTCATTTAATTTATAAATCTTTATAAATTTACAGTTTTGATAAAGTCAAACGTCGATATTTAAATCATTTAAAATACCTTTTGTATTGTTTCTTCGCGGCTGCCAAATTCGTAGCGAGACCCGAGCGCATCGCCGACAAATTGGCCCATCAGGGCACCGCGGGCTCGCTTTAGGGCCATTACTCAAAATTAAGAGCTTGCTAGCGAATTTCTATAAAGATTCATGAAAAATATATTAATACAAGCATCAAGAACCGGGTGATTTTTATAAATCACTGGCAATCGCAATAAAGAGGCAAAGACAGTCCCACGCACTTTATTCATCCAAAAAAACCGAAAAACAAGTAATAGACAATGAAAATTAGACGATGTTCAGGTATTTGAGGGTTCGCATGACGAACTGGGCGGCCTTGTGGCTGTAGTGGGTCGAGAAGCGGTAGAAGGCACCCTGGAAAGTGATAACGTGTCAGTTGGACAATATATCGAAGGCTTTTGCGAAATATTTGTTTGCGATAAGCCGGCAAAAAATGGCAGTGCTGCACAAAGTCTAGAGAAATATTGCACAGACGATAGTAGACGTTATTTGCACTTATTATGATTATATTATCAGCATTTAATAAAATATTCTGTTGATTTGTAATTACTCACAAATAATTGTTAATAACGAATATACTTCTTTTAAAAGCTACCGCAAGCGACTTATTCGCGGCCTGTGCCACCAGCAAATCGGTCTGCTTCCGCTCGTCGCTCGTCTGAAGTAAAATTCTTTCCCCTTATCGCGGAGAAGGGGGAGAAATTTGTCTTCGACACAATTTTTCAAATATAATTAGTGTCTCTAAACAGTTTTTTGCTATTCGAAAACGTAAAAACGTTGCATTTTTAAAAAAAATCGAAAATAACGATTTTTCGACCAAAAATGTCCCTTTGTGGCAATAATTTCGACTTTTTGCAAATTTTTTGAAAGTTTTTAGATTGTTTTCTAGAATAAATATACTTTTATGTTACTAAAAACATTGTTACAACACTTCCTATCAAGTTACTAGGCCTTTGCAGGCTTATGAAAATCGGTTGACACGTTTCTACATAGGATTATTTCTAGACCTACGCGCTTCTCATATTCGATATTATCGTCTTTTCGCCGCAATGCTTCGTCGCGCAGCTTCAGCACGTCCTAAAACAAACAAAAATAAACCTTAAAAATCAGAAAAATACCTGACAAAAGGCGTGGGACTCCTTCTCGGCCTGGATGACCATCTCCTGGATTCGATGCCCATCTTCGGAACGTTGGCGCAGATGGCTTTGGACTGTCTGAAATAAACTATGTATAAAAGAAACCAAGCCAATAAAACCTGTATGCTGTTGCGGATCTCAATGGTCAGCTTGACGGCTTCTTCTTCCTTCGCCCTCAATTGCAACTTCAGGTCTTCGATACTCCTGAAATTTAATGTATCCTTTCCAATACCTCAACTTACGGCTCGCCCTCGCCGCTCTGCACCGGCATTCGGATCGCTTCCTGTAGCTTCGATTTTCGCAAAAAATACAAATCACTACCGTGTCCCTCTCCATCAAATACAGCAGCTACCGTTTATCTAATCAGAAACGAGACTACAAGCCGAATTTTATGCATAGAAAATCGAGTGTAAATGCGCAATTTCGAGATTCAAAGGATTGATTACCTCAAATTGACATGGAAATTTGATAAAATAATGGTATTGGACTGTTAGCGGGGGGGTGGATTAGCAGAATATCTGAGTTTTTATTTTAGGCTTATTGGTGACAATATATAGCGTATTTTATCATGTTTTTAGTAGTTTTTGATCGCCAGAAGGCTTGAAAAATGTTTAAGACATTTGAAAATCCGAACATTCCCCCGCTACCAGTCCAGTACCAAAATAGTGATATGTGGGTGTATAATGGAATTCGGTGAAACATTGGTGTGAGCTTTGGAGTGAACTTATCACAATTTTTGGAAGAGAGAAAGACAAAAAATGATCATTTTTCCTGGCACATGTCGAATTGAGACTCGAAGATTAGGTCGGAGATCTGTAAAAACGGGAATTTTAACCAAGATTTTACCCAACCTTCTTTTGCAGCTTTAGCGCCTCCAGCCGATTCCCCTCACCGGCCATTTTCCGCAAAATAACCGCAACATATTGGCCAAAATGCGCAAAATCGTCCTAGATAAATACTTTAGACTTTGTTGTCATGGCAAACCTGGGCGCTATTGATTGTCAGCAATGGTGGGGAACTGACCGTCGGGAGTGGAGTCTCTCGAGGCTAAAAAGTCTTGTTTTTATTGACCATAGTCCAGGCGGTTTTTTTCATAAAAAATTCGATGAAAATAATAGAAATATTAAATTTCTTTAGCATTTCCAGCATGGTCCAACTTTTCCTACACGCCAAGGTATGCGCAGTAAGGCAATAGCAATATTCTGAATAGCTTTTGTAGTAAAATTTAGCCATATTTCCAGTGAAAAAACGTCAGAAAACTAAATAAAATGTTAAGGCGCTAAATTTTAGCCTCTTTTAACCAAACACACGAGGGTTTTTAAGATTGGGGAACGTAAAAACAGTCGAAGGGCTTCATGTTTCTTCAATCGTACTTTATTCGATTACGGTTACTTTACCAAGGTATTTTGCCTGTCATCCTCGGCTTTCTTACCCGTTTTACCGGCACAGCCTCTTCCCGTTGCACCGTTGGCTGCGCTCTCAACATTGTCGGAATAATATTGGTCTTATTCTCGAGCATCGAGTTCTAAAATCTCAACTTTTTAAAGATAGAACTCGATCCAAACCTGGGCATGCTGTTCGGTTGCCTTCAATAAAATATCCATAGAATTTTCGGTATTACGCTCTTCGAATGAGCTGCTAAAATCAATAAATCGAAATTATCTATGGCTCTACACTTACTTGTGCGGTTCATATTTAACCGTAAGCTCCGGAGCATCATTACTACTCGTTCCGTCTTCTCTAAAACATATTTTTAAGCGTATTAGATAACCTTAGATTTTTTAAGGAATAAAAAGAAACCTCAATGGCCCCTCATCCCCTTTTTCCAAAAATCGTAGCTGCCGAAAGAATTTCCACGTGGGTTCTTCGGCTGGATCGCGTGAGTATCTAAAAAATATTATTTTGTCATTTTTGATCGCCTTACTTTCCCTCCGAGAGCCATCGTTGTTTCCTTTTGTAGGTGTCCTTCAGGTTTTTCCATTGCGATCGCACCTCATCGGCTGAAAGGAATAAAAAAAATTAAAATTATCAAAAAATTGACTTTTCGGTAGCAAATTTCTGGACAAAACACAAGAAGGTCAAATTCTTCAAATTTTCAAATTGTTTAAAATCTCTTTTAATGTCTTAGCAATGAAAACTACTTATAAACTTTTTCTCAACAGAAAAACGTCTAAACTTGTACGGGATTTAAATTTTTGCCCCTGACCTGTATAGGGATGTTTGCTGATATGGGGGTAGTAGGCTGTGTTGAGTATCTCGACAATCTCCCGAATCGCCTCATGCCGCATAAGTCGAGAATTTGGGTCCTACAAGTCTTTTTATTGCTAAAACGGATTATTTTCGAATTTGTAACACACTGAAACGCCCTATTTCTGGCGTACCCCCTGCACGGTTCGATCCCACAACACCGGGCGCAGCTTGACCTGATCGATGAGGCTCGTTCGGCTGCTGTCTGTCCAAGCCATAATCTAAACAAAAAGCAGATTAATTTTTGCTTGCTGAAAAGCGAATTGACGTTCAAAAGATTAGGCTTTTGAAATAGCGGAGAAACAGGTTCTAGTCCGTTATCGGGGGGGTGCTAACTTCCTTTATTTCACCTAACCGTCTTACAATTATTAGTAAGATCTAAAATATTTCTATAAAGTTTTTCCGATTAATATTTTCCGATTGCTAAAAGTAATAGAAATCTTTTTAAAAGGTCAAAAATTTGATTTTTTTGGCGATTCTCATGGATTTTCGACAAAGGTGGACGTTTCTATAACATTGATAAACTTTATTTTACCAAAAAAAAACAAGAAATACTATGAAATTTGCTTTTATTTTACCTTGGAGCCAGTAAAGGCAATGAAATAAGAAAAAGTTAGGTTCATCTCCTGACTAACTAGTCCCGCCCAATCCAGTGGTTAGTCCCTTTAAAATATAGCAGCCCCAAAAAAAGAAGATAAAAATGAGATTGATGCAGCAAGAAACCCCGGCTCAAGAGGTGATGGGCCGAACGGTGAGAATATCGGTGGGGGGGCCGTATGCGGCGGTGGGGCGGCGCCGCGGCCCAGTTCGCCCGCGGTGGCGATCGATTTCGCGCGAGGCAGCGACCGCCGTCGCCCCATCCGGGCATCTCACAACACAACACCACCGCTCTCCTCCGGGGCACCCCGACATTGCAAACAGTCTGCTCTCCTACTGGCTGGCTGGCTCGTGGCGAACCCGCATTTATTCAATACAATAGAAACGTTAGGATTAAATGAGAAAGCAAGGTCAATGAGTCAGCAGCTGGCGATTGCGATTGGATGGAGGCGGAAAATAAGGACCGAAAAAATGACAAAATGACAATATGAATCGGGGACTGGATATAGGCTAGTTTCCTGGTCCAGGAATGTGAAAAGAAATACAAGATATAAACAAGAAAGAGGTTTAAACCCGAGATCATAAAGCCGAAGAATGAATACTTCCTTATTTCTTCCAGTAGTCGATCTTTTCCATCTTCACAAGCGGACGCAGTTGATCGGCAAAAGCACGAAGCATTTTCGCTTCCTTATCATAGTCCGCAGACTCGGGAAGTGACGTGGCTACTTCGATCTAAAACATTTTGTTTATACAAAAATAATACAACTATCTTTTGCTAGCGTTTACGAATTCACTAAAAACCTACCAAAAGCGATTCGGCTGTAGAGATCGGCTTCAGTCCTTGCTCATATTTTCCAGGCGTTTCCGTTTTCCGCAAATCGTTAACGATAACCTTGAAACCGCCATTTGTGTAGACGCGTCCCTTCGTGATATACTCGTAATCCATACGTAATCCTAAATTGTCGCGGTCCTCGAAAATTCAGGACAAATCCACCTAAGCTTTTCACAAATTCCATCATGTTGTTCGAAGATACCACCGAATCTATCACTTTTCTGACGATAACCGGGCAGTGTGCGATTGGCTCTGGCGTGCCGATATACCTAAAAATTCGTTATTTAGCAAAAATAAAATCTGTACTACCTCATATGCCATTTATTCGCTGTCGGATGGAAGGCATCACTATGAAACTCACGTCGTAACCTAAAAAAACTTCAAATAACTAGAATTGGGCTTACCGAACTGTCACATCCGATCCCATCGACATCGGCCCGCCAACTTTGAGGCTAAAGCTCAGCTCGTGCTCCTGAAAAAAAATCGTAGAGAAACCAGTAAATCTTCTTACGTGAAATTCCCGGTATCCTTTGTCACACAGACCGGAAAGCCGAGCGTAAAATTGCTCTTTATACGCCTCCTTCAGGCTGCCGTACAAAATCAGCTCCTGATGCTGGTAGGACGTGGGCGGGGTGAACTTGGGCGGATCTTCTCCGGGCTCTCGAGCGGATGATGCCATCCTGAAAAACATATTGCCTATGGTGAACACATTTTTCAATATAATTTGAGCATAAGACTATGCAATCAAAAAGCACAAAACAGTCAATATTTTATCAACAATTTTCGTGAACCAATAACCGTATGCTCTGCATGTGACTAGCACAACCGCATATGGGCCTGAGAAATGAAAGAATACTAAACGATATACAACATGTTAGAAGAATCGACTTTAGAGCTTCGAAAAGTCAGTGGGGCCCTTGACAGAATTCGGCGGTTGCTGGCCTTGAGAGTAGAGGCATCAGCTGTCATCTGGCTATCAATATCGAAACATCCGAGCAGCGAGGCCATCACATCACTGTCCGGTCGTTCGCAGCTCATCAGCTCCTCATACTCCAGCATAGACACGGAGAGCTTCGCCTTTACAGGTTCGTCTGGGACGTCGCCATTTACAGATTCAACATCAGAGGAGCACGTAGAGGCTGCGACCGAGGCGCTGGGCTCCTCACCGGCCCATTCATACAACGACTTCTTCCATGTACGCACCATCTGGTCCCAAGAGCGCCGAGAATAGTTCAGGAACTTGTTCGGGGTCCGCGGATGGACATGCGGGACGCGATTTTCCTTGGGAACATCCTTCAAATAACGATCATAAACGTCTTTGTCCTTGGCGCGCTGAATCTCCTTATTGCGACGCTCCAGAGTGCGAACATCGGTGCACCATCCAAGCTTGGGCTCTGACCAATGTTCGCGCACCTTCAACTTCGGCGGTCCCGAAGGCGTAGATTGGGTCGAGTCCATGGGACCGGCTGCCTTGGAGCCGTCCTTGCGAATCTTCCGCGAAGGAGTTCCACTGCATGCAAGGCCGGGCGTCGACAATTCCCGATCGCGCTCAGAGGTGTTGGAACGGCAACGCTTGCGGCTCAACGACTCGCGCTCCTCCTGCTGTTCCTTCAGTTTGTAAGCAACGCGGGCAGATCGACGGATCGACGGCCCATCGCCTTGTTCGTGCAGCATAGCCCGTTGGAAATTCGGCTTTGTCGAGGAGCGGCTAGGTCCCGATGGTTTGCGAGTGCTGCGGCGCGCAGGCTCTTCGACCGGCGCCTCGCTCACACTATGAAACGATTCGTCACAATCTTCGGACAGTTCAGCCCAGGACTTGTCGGATATCTCGTCGAGAACGGCATCTGATAATTCATGAAAAGACGGGCTTCGTGCTCGAGTGCCCATGCTGCTGAAAAAGAACATATAATGGAAGCCTTGAGAGTAAAAATAAGGCATTGAAATCAATACTAGGAAAGATTAGCATAAATAGAGGAGTAGAGCCTGTAAGAAAACCAAGCAAGGAGCCGATAAGTAATAGCCACACCCAATTTTTTTACATACATGCGTGGGAAGATAACCACGACTCTGACATTCATCACTTCCGAGGAATCACAGCTTTATTTACACGTAAAACATGTTCAAAAAATCAATCGTCCTCGGAGTCTGATTTGTTCCCATTCTTTCTGCCAGCTGTAGGAGCTGCCGCCGCCGCTGTTCCAATACCGGTAATAGCTGAGATACTTAGGTGCACCTAAAGACGAAAATAGGACAGGAAATATCTGCCTCACTTTTCATGCAAACCTCTCGCCGATCGCTAAGTACGGTGGCCGAGTCCGTTTCAACCATTTTGACGATAGAATCGAGCTGTGCGTCGATTGAGTTAATCTAAAATTATATCAGAAAAGCTTCTTTGGCATACCAAATGACTTTCATATTCTTTGCCATGGTGAGTTTCATCGACGCCGCTTATCCGCTGCAGAAATTCCCGTGTCAACTCGACGGCACGCGCCTGGGCATCCAAAGCATATCTACAAGATATAAACATCTTCATAAAAAGAAATGCTTTTACTTGAAAGCAGCTAGAGCTATATGGGTGGGAGAATAGAGCAGCATCGCGTCTGTAAGAAGCGATCGACTGATGAATTCTGTGCAATTAGGCCTAAAACAAGTTTTAAAGCTATAAAGCTAAGCTTACCGTAAAGATTCGATGTCAAAATTTAACAAAGACATCCGCTGCTTCATTTCCACGAAAATTCCCTCCACCGTTCGATAAGGCGCATGCACGACCAAGGAATAGTTCAGAACCCGCAAAATCTCCGGCTCGAGCGTCAGAATCAAATGTGTATTCGTATCCGCCGTACCTAAAATAGATTATTTTCGCAAAAACACTATTACCAGATCTCAAATTAGCGACAAATTCTTGTATCGGCACATAAAATTCGTCGATTTTCGTCGCAATATAGTAACAGGCCATCATCACCATCTTCGGGCTGTACTCCATGACGGTCTTCTTCAAAAAGAATCGCTTGAAATACGCGAAGGCCATGTAGCGGACCGAGGGGAAAAGGTGGGGCTAAAAGATAACTGATTTCTGAGCGTATTTCTTGCCTTAAAATCATCGCCAAACTTTAGCGCCGCTTCTTGGACAATTGAAAGCATAGTGCTCTCATCGATGGGCTCGAGGAAGAATGGGGATTCGCCTGGTTGAAGCACCTCATCGTACTGGCTTTTGAATTTTTCGCCGACCTAAAGCAAAATATAAAATTTTGAGAACAAGCTACCTCTTTTCGAAGTGTCGCCAGCCTCTCGACCGAATCGAAGAGCCATTCACTTTTGTGGGTGCTGGTGGTGAACATGGCTAAACGTAAAAACTGCATAAAATCAAAAATTTATCACAATGTCGCAGAAACATTGTGTACGAGGAATACAGTAGACAAATATCGTCATTTGGAAATTCGGAATGAAAGAATAAATCAAAACATGTTATCTGTTTTAAATCCTAATAATATATTTTCATCCTAAAATTGCTTATAGTAGTGATAGAATTTCTCGAAAAAAACCCTCGAAAAAGATAATTCTCGCCGGATCCTTGTCGCCAAAAGCACCTCAGAAACTCGGTTAGCAAAGCGCCCGCGGGCGCGCCCGAAAACCCAAAGCGCCCGCGAGCGCGCCCGAACTGGACCCTTTTGCGCCCCGGGCGCAATTTTTGCAAAAGGGCGCAAAACCGCTCGGGGCGCAAAAAGCGCCCATGGGCGCAACTAGGGGCGCGCCCGCGGGCGCATTTGAATGGTGAACACCTTTCAATTCTGCGAAAAAACGGCTAAGTTCCTGGCTTATGCACTTATTTTTGTTCAAAATATATATAAATTAGCACAAACGTTACTAGATTTTCTTGGTTATCGTCGTCGAAGGTAAATACAATACTTTGAAGCGCCATGGCGCAGGTAACGAAGGTAAAGTTTTGCTACGCAACCAGTCCCTGCGAACTTTAAAAATACTTTAGATTCAGATTTATAGATTCTCGATTTATATGAGCCGACCTTTCAGACGATCATGGTCATCATTGCAAATGCGAAGCGCGACGTTTCCGGTATCTTTGGGCGGAGTTGCAAAGTAAGTCGGCAAGAAGCAAGTCAAAGCAAGTTTTCAGGAAGCGGGAACAAAGTAAGTGCGAATTACGAAGTTTATAAAGGAAATTATGTAATTAGCTTTACTTTTAGGGGCCATCTATCGCGCATTCGAACGTATCTGTAAGTTCTAAACGAAGCTAAAGCCAAAAAAGCAAAAAAAAAAACATATTTCAGGTGCGCAGTACGACCATTTTCTCAGGGAACGTGAAGATCTACATTAAGTATAGGGTACAGCATCGCCAAAAGCGATGTAGTGCCCTTTTTTAAATAATAAAAGCATTAAAAGAACCCGTCCTACGCCGTTACAACGCGATTGGGGCGCGCTCGCGGGCGCTTTCGAGTTTCGGGCGCGCCCGCGGGCGCTTTACTAACCGAGAAACTCGAAAAACTTGTGTCCGGCCAATACACTTGACGAATATCGTCATTTGGAAATTCGGAATTACAAAAATCGACGAGAGAAAATATAATTTCGAGAAATATTTATTTTTAGCCTACAAATACTCAAAAGAATGTTATAAGCCGTTAGAAACAACTTTCTCGCCTCCAGACCACTAAGTCTGCCCCGATTCTTGAAGAAATTGCCTCTGCCGGCACCCCCGAACGTTTGGTTCGCTCAGAATTACATGCCGTAACGCCCAAACAATGGCCACTGCCCACCCAAAAACGGCCACTCCCGAGCACAACAACCGGCTTAATCGATGCGAAAAGCTGCTTAAACTATTGGGAAGACTCCGAATTTGGACCTCGTTGCTAAATTCCTGTTGAAAACTTGTTCTGGACGCACTCGCTAAAAATCAATTTTTCAGATGCGCTAAAGATGCCGCAGGAGGTGGTGCAGTTCCTCCGCTCCGAGTCGAACGACTCGTTCGAGCTGCGCATCAACTATGACAACAATATAGCGCCGGATAAGGTAAATTTAACCGGTTTTAGCTCAGAAACTTGTTTTTAGGTCGATTTTTGGTATTTCCTTCTGACGCTACTCCTCTTTGTCGTGTGGATCATCTTCCTGGCCTACTACTTCCAACGATGTCTCGGGCCGCTTGTCGGGTTTCTCTTTACAAAGTGGGAAAATTGGTGAATTCTTTTATGTGATATTTTAAGATTGCTACGTTTTATGGGCTACACGGGTACAATAAAGATCGGCTCGATCTCGGCTTCGTTCATTGCCGGCAAGGTCATGTTTGGAAGTACGTTTCTCGGCTACTATTTTATGGCATTTTAGACATTCGATATGTGTGTGATGATTTTTCGCTACGGGTCAATGACGGGTATATCATCTTCTCTTTCTGGCGCTACATCCAAAGTCGACACATAAATCTCAAGGGGTAAATTTTGCTATTATTTTGTTATATTAAATTCAGTGATACTTCTCGGCTACACGTTTCATTGAATGGATTCCATTTGAATTGGTATAACCGCTCTTCTACATACAAGGTAAGCTTTATTAGATCCTAAGAAATCCGGTTTAGGAAATTGCCAGAAAATTCCATCTCGAGAAGCTCTTTGGTGATCACCTAAAAACGGAACCAAAACGACGACCAACAAAAGCTACTTTGTAAGGGAAGAGTCAGGTTTTTAAAGTGCTTTTTCAGGGGTGATAAGAAAGCGGAAGCGAATTGGGATCGAATTTGGTCCTTTATCGGCACGATTCGGCTCAGTGTTTCCTCGGGAAAAATTTCGATGGGAAACCGATTGTTGCCCTACATGTTGCTCTTCACCTTTGAGAACTTGGAATGTAAGGAACGTCTTTAAGTCTCTTTTTAGCAATTTGGAAAATTAAAAAATTCTAACTATCCAATTTAGCAAGAGCCTTCCTTCGAGAATCTCCAAAAGACCGAGCTTTGCTGCACATCGATTCGTCGACGGAGAATTTTCGAGCTTCCCTGATCAAGCACCCAGAATATGAGGGTTTGCAGCTTTACCTATATATAAAATTATTTTTTTAGGAGAAAAAGTCGACGAGCCACCAAGAACGATGGGAGACGGCTTTGCGTTGATACAGACAGCAAAATTGGACATTTACTACAGGGACGATCAGCTGGGTCAGTTTTCTAGGCTCTTGTCAAAGATTGTCAATTTAGGGATTGAAACCAGCGATCGGCAGTCACCAAACGAAAACTGCCCAATTTGGGAGTCTGTTTGGCGATTTGGGCACAACACGGTCTTTTTTCTTTTCGAAAGGTTTATAGTTTATTTAGGTAATTTCCTATGGTCCTTGGGCGGAGGCTCAACGAGTGAAGCTATGGTCGTTTTTCAATCCGCTAGACTACCAAACGCCATCGGTCACCCCGATGCCAGCAAGAGGTAAAAACATTTCAAGAAAATTTTGTATTTTTGCGGTTGTCCTCCTATCTAAATTCTACTATAGGATGGCATAAAACCGATAGAAAACACCTATACCGTTAAATTTCAGGAGAACAGCGCATAAAAATCAAGCACGACCTCCGCCTTGTTCTTCTAAACGAGACCTCAATCGATCTTTGGTTTCTACGAGGAGAACAGCTCGAAAGCATGCACACCAGATGTCGTGCTGGCTCTTCATTGGATGTACGTACCAGACTCGTCACAACTTTCTGCTATTTTAGAGTACAATCTGGTGGATCACCCAGCAAAACGGATTCACCGTCACCACGAATCTGTCTCTGCTAAATGTCGTCAGCACCACGTCACTGATCATCCGCCGATTGATGCAAATCGAAACGTTCTCGATGGGATTTGAGATGACCTATCCCAGGGAGTACAATGCCGAGCAGACGTGGAAGGTCTTGAAAACCACTTTAAAATATTGTATTGTGCCTTTCAGATCAACTTACGACTCTCTAAAGCGACACTATGGCTTGTTTGGGATCATAAACGATTTTTCAACGTTCGTTTAATGTTTAAGGCCATTTTCTATCTCTTTTTTAGGACCTGATCGACGCTTGGATCGGGACTGATCCGCCTGACATTGCCAAATTCATTCCCTATACTGTGGCGTTCGATTTCACCGTAAAAGATGGATTTGAGGTGAAATAAACTATAATTTATAAAAACTTTGTTTTTAGATAATTCTCTGGCTAAACGAGGGCAATTGGGTGGATACGCAGATTGGCGTTCAGCCGGAAGGGGTCGAGGCGGCGCTGGTTGGGGATAAGCTCAGTTTTAGTGGGTTTTTTTGAGGAGACCCGAATTTTTCTGACTTAAACAAAAAAAAATGCCAAAAATCACAGCAAATGATGAGAAGCAAAAACACCTATTTTAGACTTCATGATGCCTTTTGACGACTTCCTGCCTGACACTGTCAATATTAACTACAAGGTCAAAGCCGAAAAAGACTTGGCGTTGAGGATACGGTTCGGTTCAATCGACGTATAATATTTGTTTTTTTTAGGGTGCCACCCCAAAGTACGCTCCATCCGGTCCTATCTTCCCTCATCAAACTGGCCAATGTCGACCGATACGCGCCGCCCTCGAACTGCGGAAATATCAGCAATGATGTTGGAATTCGCGATTTTTTTTTCTTATTTTCCAATTTTAGGGTAACTGGTTCGAGATATGGCGAACCGAAGTGGCCGAGGTGCAGCTCAATCACACCTACCATCCCCTTCCCGGCGATATGCACAGCGATTTGCCGTATCACTTGATACAGGTAGCGTGAAAAGGGACTGCCCGATATTTGCTTTCTGAGTGTCTATTTATAGATAGGATTTTATTAAGCGCATTTTTCAAAAATAATTTGCGGCGACTGTAATGCGTTTTTACAGAAATTCGAAATTCGGGCACTGGCCTAATTTTTGGAGAATTTTCCGGTGATTCCTATCCTGTTTTCCTCATTTGCCGAGAAGCCTATTGCCAAAGTTACAGCCGTTTTTGTTATAGATTCGCCTAAAATGGCTGATTTTTGGATTCAATATCTTTTCAAATACCTTTCGGAAAGTTAGACATAATCCTGGGGTTGAATTAAATAGGCAAAAAAAGGTTGAATCGACAAAAGATTTTTTTCTCAATCGGTATCGAAAAACGAGCTTTGGGTAAAAATTTGGGCTGTTTTTTTGAAAAAGTTGTGCTGCATGGAATAATAACGTAGAAGCACTTCAACAGTCCAATTTTTTTTAGGAATTCTCGAAGAATGTCAGCCATCCCAAAGATCTTCCGCCAGACAATCTGCACGTTTTGATTGATGTTGGAGGATCTATGGTAGGTATCTTAAAAATGTTTTAAAAGGCCGTCCGCGGGTCACTCGAACAGTCCCCATTATGGCTTGGCACAGTTTTTTTCGACCCCAGTTTTTTGATACCATGTGAAAGAGCATGGTCCAATTAATAGGACTGCATAGTTTTGAAAGTTTAAAAAGTTTGTTTTTGGGGTTTAAAGGGGCTCCGAAATCTGGTCCACGGCCCCCTGCTGTGATTCCTGGCAAATAGCCAGATGCGGCCGCAACGCGACCGCGCCGCACGATCTTTTTCCTCTGTTTGGACGCGGAAACGATTGAATTTCAAAATTCTGATACTATTTTTGGAATCCTCAACGAATTTTGATCATTCCAGACTTTTAAATTATGAAAATTGACCAGAGAATCACCGAGATCGAGAGATTGGGTGCCTTACAAAGCATTACGACAGGTAATCGCGGCCCACTCAAAAGGTCGTTTTCGCCCCAAAAAGAATTCGGTTTTTCTCAAACATTTTACGTTTTTTCGCAATCAAATAACTTTTTTAGCACTTCTCGGCAGTGACTCTTTCGTTTTTTGACCCGAAGGTTTAATCCCCGCACGCATGAATTTTGACTTCTGAGCCCCTTTAAATGGCCGTTAAAGTTGCGTACCCCGAAAAACTATCTCGGAGCTCACTGCACAGAACTGACTGAAACTTTGGGATAATACCTAATTTGGGGTGCTGATCATTTTTGTAATACATTATGAAGCACGAAAATGGCCAGAACATAGGAATATCGCGTAGTCGAAACAGTTTTTTCGGGTTTTCTTTATGATGGAAAGTTTGCTGTAAGCTGAAAGAGACATCAAAAGATGCGCAAAAATTTTCTGCATCGAATGGTGTATTTTTTACGATGCAGCAAGTTTTCCATCATGTCGAAAAATCCTATTTACGGAGCCTCAGCTCAAAAAATTCAAAAATCGCAAATATAAAAAACGTTCCCCAACTTCTAGAGGCGAAATCATACCGATCGCAAAAAAGAGCAAAAGAAATTCGGCTTCTGAGAGGGGCTGGGATTGAACTCGGGTCGTTCGCCTGGGACCCTGGCGGCGCCCACTAGTGGCTGTCCCTGTGCCCCCTAGGCGAACCATCGCGGGTTCGATCCCGGCAAATCGCCAGTTTCGCGCCGGAAGGGAATTTCTTTTTGCTCTCTTTTGCTTTTGGTTTAGGCTAGTTTTTATATGGGACTCCATTTACATCTGTGGGAAAATAAGCTTTCTTATACATTTTGCGATGGTTTTTCTTGATTTTAGAAAAGCTAATTTTTCGACATGATGGAAAACTTGCTGCATCGTAAAAAATACACCATTCGATGCAGAAAATTTTTGCGCATCTTTTGATGTCTCTTTCAGCTTACAGCAAACTTTCCATCATAAAGAAAACCCGAAAAAACTGTTTCGACTACGCGATATTCCTATGTTCTGGCCATTTTCGTGCTTCATAATGTATTACAAAAATGATCAGCACCCCAAATTAGGTATTATCCCAAAGTTTCAGTCAGTTCTGTGCAGTGAGCTCCGAGATAGTTTTTCGGGGTACGCAACTTTAGCGGCCATTTAAACCCCAAAAACAAACTTTTTAAACTTTCAAAACTATGCAGTCCTATTAATTCGACCATGCTCTTTCACATGGCATCAAAAAAACTGGGGTCGAAAAAAACTGTGCCAAGCCTTGTTCGGACGGCTCGCAAACGGCCTTTTAAACTACCCTTCTTTAGGTCCTCGTTGCTGGCCTGATCGTAAAACTCTTCATGGACCTCAAAAATAATTATTTTGGGTGGTACGACCAGGTGAAAATAATTTTACGAATTTTCATAAAGTGTTTTCTAGCTGACTGATGTCGAGACGGCTGGAAAAGAGATCCCGGTCCCTGGGTTGTTTGGAAAGGTATCGGAAAACATTGGAAATTGACGTCCTGTTTGTAGGATAAGCTAAAAGTCGAGTACTACCGGCCGATGGACATCACCCTGGCCGTCCACGTGCACAATATCAGGGCCCACGCGTTGCTCCATACCCAGAATATTGACGTTCGGAGAAGCTCGTACGATGGAGATGCAAAAGGTGGACTACAAGAGATTTTAATAAAATGTGGTTTCATTCCGGTGAAATGTACTACGGGTCAATTAGGACTCTTACCTAATTTTAACGAATTTTTAAACTTTAAAAATTTCAATAAATTAGTTCTTATTTTTTTAGACGTCTGCCCGATTATATTCGTCGAACAATTACCAGGCAGTGGAGATGAAGAAAACGATGAAGGAGACGATGGTTCAGGTATTTGCTTCAAAATACTTTAGCTTTTGTTTTGTTTCTAGGTTGGCGTCGGCAGCGGCGTCGGGTATTTTAGTCGTAGCCAGACGGCGGAACATGACGGTTTTATCGATCTGTCCGGTCTGCAATTCAGAGGTGCGCATTTTACTAATAATGACAATATGGGAATTATTTTTTCATTTAGAGAATCAATTTTTTATTTTCTAGAACTTGTTTTCAACGCATGTTTTTTTTTCAGGTCACGCCATGTTCTCTTCAAAAGATGTTCCCTGGGATATGTACGTCAATGAATACGCCTGGCTGATGGAATTGATCGTTGGTGACGTGCGCGCACGAGTTCAGCCAGCTCACGTAATTTTTATCGGCGCCGTTCAGAATCCTCATTTTTTTTAGCTACTCCAACTATCCCAATTCATCGACGCATTTCTGCTCACGTAAAGTGTGTCAACATTCGAACATGTGCGCCTGCCCGATCGCTTCAACATCTGCCAGCATGGTGCGCATCCGGAACGGTATGTCGACATAGTTGGTTTGATTTTATCGATCTTAAGATGTAAGCACAAAGAGTTGGCCCGGCCCTGCCCTTCTGAAGAAGTTCTCAAGTACAAAAGCTTCCGGATATCGATGGACTCGCTTAAGCTCGAGATATTTGAACATCGAACTTTGCTGAACGTACGTTAAAAACAAATTTTTTGGTAAAAAATCGTTTAGATCGAAGTGGACCCCCTTCGCGTCTCAATATGCAATGCTCACGGCGGTGTCGTACAGGAGACACTTTTGATACGAATCCCAATGGTAAAAATTATATCTCATTTTGTATAGATTTACAATTGTTGGGCAAACATTGGCCAATTCCGGCCGAAAATCTATATTTTTTATAATAAGTCGGATTCCGGATAGAGCGTGACCAGAACCCCAAACTGATAAGATTATAGCTTTTGGATTTAAATTATTAAAATTAACTTTGAAAGTTTTCCTTAGTAAAGGGGTGGGAGGGGTTAGGGTGATTTTGGACACTAGTGAGCCAGGTCGCGCGCGTTTCGTGGATGAGAATTTTCACGGGGGGATTTCATTTCTTTTTCTCGTTCATCAGTCCCGGTCGTTATTTTTGTTTTTAAGGGGATTTCGGCTGGGGAGGTATCTTAAAGACTACAGAACGATGGAACGCCCACTGTCACCCAGGGTGCTGCCCCAAGAACGCAGCGAGGGTCGTCATTAGTGGTGTCCGTATTGGGGAAAGACCACTCTGGGGCTTGGGGCACCACTGACTCCCTTCCTACTTGGCCTGTGGTATAGTGGCTGGCGCATCGGACGTGGGCGAACCATCGCCGGTTCGACCCCCGCCAGTTTGCTTCTGTTTTCTTTACTGCTCTAAACGATATTTCATCAGTTCAGCGGTCTTTAAACCATCAGGAAGGTATTTCCCCGGAGGTGAGTGGTTTTTTTGAAGTTTCAGCCATTGCGGTATCTTTGAAGCCATCCAGGAGAAGATATTTAGGTAGTTTTTGAAGGGGATTTCAGCCATCCGGTATCTGAAGCCATCCCGAGGAAGGTATTTGTTAGTTTTTGGAAGAGTTTGTCATAGGAGTATGGAAGCCATCAGGAAGGTATTTAGAAGTAGTTTTGAAGGGATTTCAGCTGCATGGGGTATCTGGAAGCCATCAGGAAGGTATTTAGGTAGTTTTGAAGGGTTTCAGCCGCCAGGAGAGGTAATCTGAAGCCATCAGGAGGGTATTTTTATTTAAGGTGGTTTTGAAGGAGTTTCGGTTATCAGGGTTGGAAGGGAGGTAGGGAAGGATGTGGTGGAGTAGGACATCTAGGGTAGCCCGAAGGCCAGATGGTTGCAGTCGCGAAGCGACTGTAACCATCTGGTTTTTATAAAATCGTAAGGTTTAGCGTCAGAACCCGTTTGGAAACACTTCTACTAATTTTATTTTTTCAAACTTAGATGCCAATAAAAAAAGTTTGTCCCCCGGATAAGGCGAATGGACCCACATAAAAATGCCGATATTTGATTTTCAGGTCCGCATCCAACAACTCGTCCAAGCCGATGATGATGCTCATCTTTGGATAGAAGCCTCCAAGGCCGCCATTGAGGACATCTCCTTTGACATCGTTCTGCCGAAATCAGCAGAGGAGCAAGTCGACGCCGCGAAAATGGGCGAATTCCTCGAAAAAACACGATGCGGAAACGAAACGCCTGTTTTTCCTGCAAAACGGACATGATGCTCGTGCGTTGGAGAAGCGCGTTTCTTTGCCGATGAGGACACGAGTGGCCCGATATTCCTCCACCACCCCGCCCGCTCCAATGGCTGTGAAAATCGGTGACCGACATGAAATACCAGCCCGCATTCCTGCAAAGAGTATCTTGCGGCCCGCTTCCGCCATGTTCATCCCCGCCAGACCACAGTAATGTCCACTCGAAGGCACAGCCGGGTGGATTTCCACTGAAAGAGCAGCATCTTCGAGACGGTCGAGTTCAAGTCGGAGGTCGGCTCGACGGCGTCTTTCTATTCTGCCTTCTCCAATACAGGCTCACAATATGGGAGGCCGATTATGGAACGGTCTGAGCTGATGAAGCTCTACGCCGCTCATCTCGATCAATTCGAGATTGCGAAGACGCAGATGGAAGTGCCGATCCTTGGCTCGTCTGGGGTGCTGTGGACTGGCGGAAACGCCGGAATCGAAACCAGAAACGCGTTCACAAAGGGCTTGCCGATTTACAACTCAAAAGCCAGGAGCAGCATCGTCAGGGAGGATGGACGACCGGACCTGGCCAAAGGCAAAAAGACTACCCCTTTGCCCCCAGGTGTACATACATTCGATCTTTTTGAAATCACCGGAAGAGGGGCCAGGCTGGACCCCCCATCACCCGCTGTCTTTGCTCTGGTGGCTAGACCAGATTCTGTCTCACGTCAGCGTGCGCTGCGCCACATTTCACTTTTGCGTTTGGCTGCGCGCGGCTTCATGATTACCTAATGTCTCCACTGGAGCGCATGTTCAACAGCATCGCCAATCCCTGACAGCCTCTCTTTCGACGAGACCAAGGCGAGGTACAATCTCGATCATTACCGAGTGTCAAATACAGACAATCCACGTCTGTCTCTTCTCTTGCTCACAAATGGAGAACAGTCGGCGGGAATGGGAGTGGAATTCTGTTGCTCCGGATGGACGACGGATACCTCAAAATGCCAGCATTACACCGACTCTTGGCGATCCCTACGATTATCGTGACTTTCCGGAGATCCGGAGATCTTGCCGCCCAATACCTCCGCTTCATCGACAAGGGAACCACCGACTTTACTGTGCAACGTCTTCAACAAAGAACAAGACCAATTGGCACCAGGTGGAGCTGTCGAACAATGCCGAGAGTCTCCCTCCGTTGCCTTGTCGACGTCTTTGCCCCCGGTTTGCGGATTGTACTACCCGAGCCGGGGCAGAATCTGGGCCAGGTGTCTGTGCCAGAAGCTGACGGTGCGCATGGGCAGAGTCGATCACGATGTTCATCATGGCTCGACCGCTGGAGGTGACGGCACAGGGATGAGGTTCCCGATATTTGAAGCGCTGTCACCGACCGTGTCTGCGTGGTTCCTAGCGAATTCTCGGCTAGAAGCGACCGTTACAAAGGTGTAGGGTTTTCGTAAAACAAATCCGGGGCTGTTGCAATATCATGGAGAGGCTATTTTCCCACACTTCCTAGGTTGTCTAGTAATGAAGTACATCTTAAAAAATTTTTTTTGTGGAATTTAGCTAGATTTCAGGTCTAATTTTTTGGAGCATTTTAAATTTAAGAAAAAATTTAGTAATATGAAATGAACAGAGTTTGCCAAGAAAGATTAGAAACCTTAGAAAATTTCAAATGTGGGACCAAATATGGCTATTTTGCGTTGTTTTTAGGAAGTTTACAAACGCTTCCTGATGTTTAGAAAAATTGCCGCCCCGGTATTGCAAAGAACCAACCTCTTCTTCATCCTCAACGCTTTAAACAGGTGTATTCTTAGCTTGGCACACAAAGGGCTTCGCCGAACCATCAAGCTGCTCGGGCTGCTTGCCCTGGCCCTGGAGGAGCCGACCGTACTCCGCGTGCCCAAAGCGCATGGGAGAGTTAAGCCGCTATTACAAAGAACTCCTCAAGCTGTCCCAGCTGTCCAAGGATTACTCTAGCGTTGTTGAGGGTACGGAGACTCACGATTATATAAAAGCGATATTAGTAATGATTATAATAAATTTCAAACGTATAAATATTTCACTCATTTTCAGATATACAACCGCTTGCCCATCTCTCGAGCCTGGCCGCTACCACTCAGAGGTCAGAGAGCTCAAAGACGAGCAAACTCGAAAATCTGCCATCACTGCTCTGCTTTCGCATTGGCAAACTGTTGTATGTAAATACATCAAGGTACTGTTTTACCAATCGACAAAATCTTTTTGGATTTTTAGTTGGCTTCCAACGACGAGGCGCTAAAGTATCTGGAGGTGAAAGAGGTGCAAGAAGCCGATCTCGACCTGCTACGGATGGCCGACAAGAAGGGCGTACGAATCTTTTTAATGTAGTTTTTTATTATTGTTTTCCAGGAAGCAACGCCAACCCCGAAACCAAAAGCCACCCAGAATTCCAATCCCGAAGCCGAACATCCCGATCCTCCGCCGGCAAAACTCGACCTCTACCAATACGTGACGGAGGCTCATCAACAACTGAAAAAGAGGGGAAACGCCTCGAACCGACGCACAGCAAGCAAGAAGTCAACCCGATGGAGATATCGCTTTTCGGCCTTCTTCTACTCCTTCTATCGGGTATTTAAAACGTTTTTTTCATTATTTAATTTTATAGAATTGCTCGCTTGACGTCTCCTTCCTTGATAAAATCCCGCTCGGGATGCTCGACGTGGAGCTGGAGGGATGTCTGGATGAGGTGTTGGTCAATGTCGTGGATCATCCCGGCTTGTCCTCGGCCAGGCCGACAAGAAGTTCATCGCCCAGGCGACGCATCCGCTCATCCACCTCAAGAAGATTCACGTCAAGGGCAAGGTGGGAAAACGATTTTTTTCATTGGTGCTTCCCATTATCGGCGGGGGAGGGGGGGCTTGTAGCCGAATAGAGGAAGTTATCAGAAATTTCCATGGTTGCTAAACGCAAAAGTTCTTCAGATTAAAACTATAATTTGATCCATTTAAAAAATTTTTGGAATCTCAAACTCGTCTTTCGAATAGTAGTAAAATTTTATTAAAAATATTATTAAACGAATTATTTACATCCATACCTTACATCACAAGGCATATCTGGACTTATGAGCCAAAATCCAAAAATTTACCCCCCCCGATAATGCACAAGTACCAAATTTCCCTCACTGGTGCGACAAACACGTCCATCCATCCCCTTTAGGTGAAATATGTGGTGGAAATGGACAAGCCTGGTCTACGGCCGATTGGCGTCAAATTCGACATCGACTACGCTTTGGAAGTTGAACATCTACGATCTGTCGTTGCCATCTCGTGCGTTTGTCTCATAAAGGTATTTGGCTCGACGTTTCCTGCCAATTCAATTTAGGAACTGTCGCTTGTCGCGCTCTCCATTGCCGAACAACACAAGCTTTACTTTGAATCTCGCCCAACGACACCTTTGACGAAAAAGTAAACATTATTTCGAGGTTTTACTTCTTTTTTAGGACACCAAGCGTTCGTCGTTTGTCTAATATCTCTTTCTCGCCAAGCGTCAATCTGAAGGTGGCCGCAGAAGCTCAACAAGAAAAGCAGTGGATTCCTGGGGTGGTGGAGAAGGCGAGGGCCTATCAGGTTAGAGGATTGAATAGGAAAACTAGGAAAATTATTTAGCAAACGAGCAAGCGAAAGGGAATGGGGCTGAAGCGCGACGCTCTTCAGATACACTTCCTCGGCGAACGTAAGTCATCTTTACGCCTTTTTAACCCTTTTTTTAGTTTTGTTAAACAACGCTCGTCTGGAAGCGATTCTGACTGACCTACGGGTTGCTGTCGCGCTACAACAACTTTCATCGAAGCAGGAGGGCACGAGGTAAAATTAGTTCGATACTAGTTTATTTATTTAGTGCTACGGTAACTGTAGTCGATTTTAAATATTTTTTAAATTCCCAGTTACTAAACGGCCGTAAAAAAATTTGATAAATTCAGGAAGTTGGAATTTTGTAAGATTTTACATGAATTTACTACCAGAAATTCTTATATTTCGAATTTATAGAAGTTTTGTGTTTGAGAACCTCGTAAAATTGTCAAAAAATCGTAGTTAAATAACGAAAATAGGGCTGCCTTTTATTGTTGTAATTACTATATTTTTTCAGACGAGACGCGATGCATCCCCCATGCGAAGTCAGCCAAATCTCTATCCAACTCCGCAAAGCTGTGCTGACCATCTTGGAGACGGAGCCACACGCTACGCCCCTTCCTTCTGCCAGCCAGACCGGCTCCAGCGTGTCCCCAACCCCCACCAACAAGCACGACGCCGTGAAGGCTGATCAGCAACATATTCTGCACTGCGATCTACACGCCAGCCACGCCACCGTCACCCGAAAGCTGCAAAGTGAGGGTGTCCCCGTGGAGACGTTCGTTCGATTGTCGCTTGGGGCGATGGAGGGCGACTTGCCCATGTCGGCCCATTCGCTTCACGATGTTGTTCTACGGCATGGGGCTCAGCTTGAGAAGCAGTTTGACAGGTATGTTTTGCAGTTTCTTACAATTAGAGAATCGTTTTCAGACTCTCTGCACAGCCACTCGCTACTTCTACCGCCGGCGCTTTGAGCCCCTGGACGACGCCGTTGGACGAAGCAACTCCACTGAGCAAGGAGGCAATTGTCCAGAACCCACTCAAAAATGGACCGGCACGAAATGTGAACCTGTTAGCACCGAAGCGAATTGTGAAGATCACCTTCCATTTCGACATTGACAAAATCGAGCTGAGCTGCCAGCTGTTGCCGAGTCTTCGGATGAAATACTGCATCGGGCGCATCCTGAGTCAGGGGACTACAGGTACAATACCCGAAATAATTTGCAGAATTTTCCTGGGAAATGTGTTTCTAGTTCGTTAGCGGAGGGGGAAAAGGAAGGGGATTCTCCTTGATTCAGTTAAGCCTTCATGGTACGAAAGATATTTATTATAGGTTTTTAGGTTTTATAGTGTGTTTTAGTGGTTTCTATTAGAAAATTATCGGGGAATTTTCGTAAAATTAAGATTTTGTTGTAATACTTTGGTAAATTTTACGAATGTTGGACCGACATCGAAAGTTTAGTGGTTTTTCACGAACTTTTTATATCGAAAAACAGTTTAAAATGTTTATTTCATATTTAATAAGCTTTGTATAGCAAACGAAATGGGCAGGAAAAGGTGCCCCCCCCCGCTAACGGCCCAGAACCGGAAATTTCAAGACGAAAAGACCATTGTGGTTTTATGAGCTTCTCCCTTTCAGGCGACACCGCAAAATGGAAGGCCGAGCTGGCGAAGCACGAGGTGCGCTTCACCGTCTCCACCGAGGACAGGCCGCTTCCGGAACATTTCACATTAGCATTGCCCAAGATCAACGTCGATGGCGCATACCACGCTGCCAGCCAGAGGGTGCTCCAGCAAAAAGCCAAAGCCCTCCTCTACCGTGAAGGCGGATATCTGGACGTGCGTATCGTGCTCGGCACCGTCGACTACACTTTCACCACTGATTTGTTGAATCAAATCCTGTTCGCCGAGCAGTCATTCCGCACCGAGCTCGGCTTCCTCGTCTCCCGGCTTCGCTCTTCCAAGCCGATGCCATTTGCGCCCGGGCCGATCAACGAGTACAACCAGCAGCCGAATAAACCGTTGCTGTTTTCGTTGCAGGTTGGGTTTTTTGCAAATTCCTGCTGTAATCGCCCAAAATCCCCGGCAATCTGATCCAGATAACCATAATCCCGACAAATATTGCGGCTGTCGGGGTTTGAGAATGTCGATATTTTGGCGTTTTCTCTTTTTTTGACAAACAAATAACCTACTTTTCTAGGTGCACGGAGCTGAACATCATGGAATCCCTTGGCTTCAGGTGACGGCTTCAACTCCGACCTCTACAGCGGTCCGCGTGACCTTTGACAATCTCCGTGCCAACCTCACCAATCGCTGGGTGGTCAGAGAAGCCGCCGGTCGTGAGCGCGTCTTCGGATCAGCGGAAATTCAACTATCGGCCAAACTTGGACAGCTTTGCAAGCCCGCCCAGTTCCATGAAGTCGCCTACGAGCTGCAAGAATATGCTTCTTTCATGACGCAGGTAATTCCAGATCTTGGACGAAAGCTCTCCGTGCCTACTTTCAGATTTGCGTCGAAAATAAGGAAGGGCCGGCAAATTCCAACTACTCCTACCTGATAGCCCTGAATCGGCCAATTCTGCTGATCAAGTCGATGGCGTTTGATAAGGTAAGGATACTTTATTTATTTATGCTCAATTGGCCCGTTGAAAAACTCACTGGGAAAAAGTAGAATAAAGTGAAGATAAAAAGCTTCTAGCCGAAATTAATCTTTTAGGCTATCCTCCTCTGGCTCAACTACAAAAACACGTACAACTATTGGCGCAACGAGCGCACGAAAGCGGACAAGCAGCGGATGCGGAACCAGTCGGCACGAGCGAATGTCGAGGAGAAGCCGTTGGTGGCAATGTTCAGCCCGCCTCCAGGACCCTCATCAGCTACGGTAACGCAAATGATTTTTACGGCTTCACGCCTTTTTTTAGGATATCAACGTCAATCTCTCGATGTCAATTCAGAATGGAATGTACGTCTGTATGCCATTGATCGGGGCGGAGGTGAATTTAGTTAGCGTTTATTAAGCTTTTTTAAGGTATCCGATGGAATGGCTGCTCTTGTGATGAGCCTCGAAAAGAGTGACGTGACTGTCTGTGTCAAAAAGCAGCTCGCCTGTCAAGCCAGCTTCAAGTCTTTCAAAGTGGCCTTTGTCGACAACTATGATGATCAGGTAAATTATTTCTGTCTTTTATACTTAATTTAATTTTTAATGATTTTATAATATATTTAATTGATTTCTCAATATTTTCAGTCGCTCTCCGACACATTCCTCAGCAAAGCCGGCGACTCGAACTACTTCTATTTCCCCGATGGGCACTACCAATTTTGTTCTCAAGCTTCGGCTGAGGAACAGGGGCTGGCCGAGTGGGTGCTGTCGGTGAGATCACAGATGCAGGTAGATTTCAAAATTAATTTCTTTATTTTTGATTTAGGGAATGCAAATCGACCTTGACCAACGGATCGGTAGATTGGCCAAAATGCTTGTTCATACTATTTCGTCGTTTGGAGGTAATTTTCCGGCTTTTAATCTAAAGGAGGGTCGGTTTTAGAAGAGGATGACATGGGCGACGAGCACTACGATCAGAATAATTATGCCGAAGTGGATATTTGTGACGAAGACGTGAATGTGGGTCTTAATTTTGGAGGCTTTAAAGTATGTTTGTGAGTATTATGTGTAAAGTTAAAGAGCGCGTTTAAGGGATTTTTATTTTTAGGGTCTCGAGGAAGCGGCCGAGCTGAAGAAGATCCAGCAACCCGAGGGGAAAATCCGCTGGATCGAGCGGAAAATGCATGAAGAGGCTGTGCGCGTATTCGATCTGACGCAGCGGAAAGCTTCGGAGCAGGAATTGGAGGTTTTATCTAAATTTTGGCTTACCTTAATCACGAATTTTAGGCCGCCCGGAAACGGCTTCGCGGACTGGAGTTGGTGCGTTTCCGCCAGTTCCGGAAGTCGATGGTGGAGAAATGGAAGAGGAGCCGTGCCCAGCCGGCCAAGGTATCGAATAGTGACATTTCAATTAAAGTCCGATTCTAGTTCCCGCAACAAGCCAAGAATGAGGCGAAGATGAGAAGGCAGCAGTCCAGAGGTTATAAAACCATTAAAAAAATACATTTTTATTAGTGATGGCTACAAATGACGGGACGGTTACTGTAAATCCGGAAGCGGCCAGCTCCAAGGAGACGACGGTTCGAATGCATATTGATATCCAGGTAGATTTTCTGAACAGTTTGTATTTTTTTTCCTAGGTTGGAATCGCATCTGGCTCCTGCGTGTTGCGAACGACGCCGAAGGAGGGCCAGCCACCCGCCGTTTCCGGAATGAGCAAGAAGCCGTCGGCTCGAGACTTGCGCAAGGGGCTGTTGTCTAATCAGTCGCTGAATGAGACGAAGTTTTCGATTCCTAGGTGAGGAATTCTCTCTCTCTTCTCTCTCACTCTCTTTCCTCCTTGTATCTTCCTCTCTCTAATAAGTCACAAAATAATATAAGTTCAGTGTTGACGTCAATGGCTACTACTCCTCAACCGACCAAACCCCGAACGAGCCTTTAGCCCTTATCGAGCCCACCATCCATCCGTCGATCACCCTGGCTCACACCCAATCATCCAGTCTCCTCGTTCGCCCTACCCCTCTAAACGAGCTCAAGAAGTTGCCCTCTTCCACAAGCCGCTTGACCAAGGAGGTCGAATCGCCGAATCCGCACAAACGAGGCTGCTTCTATCTGAGCATCGCTCTTGCTTCTATGCCTGAAGTCACCATCGTGCAACCGCATTTGGCCGATTTTGTCGAGCAGGTTGGTTCAGTCTACTTTTCTAAAATAATCTTTAGGTCCTCGAGCCTCTACCAACCAACAAAGACTCCCTCTTCCGCTCCTCCTCTATAACAACAATCCCGGAGTCGACGCATTCTGAAGACGCTGGAATTCCTGCGCCGATAGTCGCCATCGACACGTCAACCCTTCCACTTGATGTCGTCCTCTCACTGACCGTTCAAACGTCGACAATTCGTTTTGAGGGGAAACAACAGCGGACCTCGGCGGCTGATTGTATCCTCAAGCTTCCATGTCTGACACTTTTGGCATCGACTCGGCGCATGGAGAGCAATTTGGTGGAGAGCGGTGGAACGGCATTGGTACTGGGAGGGGTAGGCCTTCCATTTATTGCTTTATGCATCACTTTTTAGGTGGACATCTCGATCACGTTGTCCAATTTCTCGCTGGCCATCTTCTCGCCCCATCAACAAGTGACGGCAAACGATGCCCTGTCGCTGACGCTCGACCACCTGGCCATTGTCATTTCCCGCAGCAAGAACAGCTCCCAGGAACTCGATAATAAAGTCAAGGTGAGTGTTTCTGGTTGAGAATATTCGTTATCGTGTTCCTCTAGTTTGTCTTGACGGCCAACATCGGTGTCGCTTCTTTCAACTACGATATGCGCCGCCTGAACGAGCTGATCGCCTTCCCGAAACCGTGGTATCGAGCGGCGATCATGCGGCGGGTGTTCTTCGGGGATCAAAGTGTCCGGCCACGAAGCCCGACGAATCTGAGCAAGGAGCGTGTCGGGAGCCGTCTTTCACCCGGTCCACCGGCCTAGGTAGGTTCTTCGTTTTTTCCTTCCGGAAACGAGAGCTGAATTTCATGTCGATTAATAATTTGCAGACTTTTTTTTGTAAATTTTAACTTTGGTTCAGATGTAAAAAACTATAAGATCAAAACAACCTACGATGAAAACTATAGGATGTGTGCAAAATTTATAAAAATTGCTTTTTGATCAGGAAATTTTTGTCCTCCCATCTAAAGTGAAATTACTGCTTTTTGATCATCCTATCCTCAATTCCAGAAAAACGAGCGTCGGTGCGGTGGGCGATGGGGAGAAGCCGTGGACGGCCACCGTGCAAGTGGCTCTCCAGTGGAAGGAGCTGAACGTCGAGGCGCAGATTGGAAATACGATGGGCAAGACGACGTGGCGAGCAAGTAATGGTGTGCTACGTGGAAGCACTAGGGTAACATCTTACCGCTTTTTCGCAAATCTTTCATTAGTTGAACTCGAGCCACGAACGCGACGCCTCTGTTCTCTTCCACCTCGACTCGTCCGAACTTGTCGCGCATGGTGGTGCCGTATCCGGGCAGATCGGCTTCAAGCGCTTGCGGCTCTCCGTTACCCATGGAAAGAAGAATGGGGTTTGTCAAGTAATACCTGAAAGTTCCGTGGTTACAGCGGCCACCATCAATTCATTGTCGTGCTCAACTGACGGCTATTTCCGCTCGCATCGAATGGATGAGTCGTGCGGTTCTGATCGCTAAATGCATCGCGCCCTCAATCTCGATTTGTGACGACTGGAAAGTGGATAAAGATGGTCCAAATGTAATCCAAAGTCATTTTTCTCCTCACCGAGTTTTAGGTTTCCCGCGCGGCGGTGTCCATGGCTCTTCATGGCCGTTGGGATGATTTGGAGCTGGTGGTGACCCGCGACACGATCGACTCGCTGGAGAAGATTGCCGACAAATTAGCCTCATTTTTCCGAGAACAGCTGAAGAGCTCGAAACTGGCCTGGGGTGTTATGGAGGAACGGGGAAGAGAGCGGACTTCCGAATCGAACGATTCCGATGAGAAGGACCCCGGAGAAGGACGCGGCGGTGGCCACTCGGTTGTGGGAGAATGTGCTCGATTTGTTGTCCGGGATCCAAAGCAGGCAGAAGATCTTCCCACTGCCAAATGTCCCGAATGGGCAGACTTTGGTCAGTTGGGCTACGTTTTCGGTTCTTGTGCAATAACGAGGGGCAAAAATTTTCCCTAGAATCTGGTCTACGCCCCCCCCCCCCGATATTCTAAAAGCCTCGAATCGTTATTATTGTTATTTTCTAGGCCGGTGGCAGCGTGAGATTTGAGGCGGGCGCGATCAGCCTGGCTTGTATGCACGGCGAGATGAATGCTCACAGGTAAATTCCATGAAAATGGGCTTCAATATAACTTATTTTAGTTGGGCCCTCTTCCACATCAAGCAACCGCTCATCCTCTTCAGCCCGGAGGCCTCTTTTGCTTATGTTGACGAATCGGCAAATCAGGTACGAAAGCGTTTCAATTTTCTCAAAAAAATTGAGGTCGGTATCTCGCTGCGGCAACGGTTTGTAATTCGACTCGGCGGCGAGCCAGGCACCTCAAAAGCCGACAGTTTGGCCAGGGTTTGCCGGGTTCAGGTCTGTTTTTAAGGAGATGGTGCCAGCCAGCAATTGATTATTTTTCTATCGTGTCTTTTTCTAGAGTCCTTACGACGAGGTTCGACAGAATGCAACGATCGAGGCGTGTCTACGGTATCTGATCAGCGACGTTCTGCACAACGTTGAAAATGGAGTACGGTTTAATATTCTCGCCTACGAATTTCTTTTTTCAGAGCACGGCCCGTGGGAGTCAAAAAGTCTTGGAGCTCTTCCAATTTCCCGCGCTCGAAGCCGTGATGACCACCATTCAGGCATTTTCGTAGTTTTTCCTAGAAATTTTCGTTTTTAGATGAGCCCTGCACTGACAACGACGCCCTGAATGCCATTTATGTTTGTGCCAAAGGTTAGCATTATTTTTGAAAAATTTAAATTCCCTTTAGGTTCGATCTCGCTTCACTTGCGCTTTCCAAAAATGCCGTCTCCGTGCAAACCGATTTCAACGCTCAAGTGACGTTTCTGCCCGAATTGTGGAATAGCTACCAGAGCAATCTGAAGGTCAGCTATCTTTTTCGGTCTTTGCAATGGGGTTTTTTCAGGAGAACTCACCGAAGAAGGGCAACTCTTCCAAGCCGCAAGCCACAACATCCACTAGCACCATGGAGTCCAAGAAAGACCCGCGTATTTTCGAATGTGAGCTGTGGCAGTGTGACCCGAAGATGCGCTTCATCGACCGTTTCCGCTGGGATCCACCTCTAATTGATGAAGTGCTGAAGAAGCTACAGGTACGGTAGCTTTTCCTTCTTTCCTAATTTCCGGTTTTTCCTTTCTAAAACTATGCTTCAGCTATTTTGTAGACAGATTGAATCTTAATGAGAAAGGTCTACCTCCCTCCGATAATGCTATAGACCCTCTTCCAGATCTTCAACCATCGCACCACAATCCCGAAGGCCATCCAGAAGGCCGTGCTCGACCCGTTGGACGTCCTGCTGGCCGTGCTGCTGCGGGAGATGCTCAGCGTTGTATCAAAGCAATAATTCCCGACCCTGTCGACGCCTCTACCTGTGATTTTACATTGCCATCCCGGTTACTTTTTCGCTTATCGCTAGTTTTTTGTGTAATTTTTAATGATAATTTCTCCGTTTAACGCTTAAGAATTAACCGAAGACGTTCGTGTGCTGGTGATTTACGTGTCTCTGAGCTTACTCAATATGTATATTCTTGCTGTTGCCGTGTGCATAAATTTTTTGGAATGAAAAAATTTGGTGGGGGAAATTACAGAAGAAGAAGTTTCTTATCTTGTGCTCCTTTTCTGTTTGTGTTCCGGTCTGTTAGCGGGGGGGGGGGAGCACCTTGTTTTCCTATACACTGCTGGACAGAATTTTACGTCCACCTGATTTTTTCGGTGTTTTGGTGAGCAGGAAGGAGTGTCGCGGAAGCCACTTTTTGGCAGTATATTACACCCAAGTAGGCATCTACTGGCACTCTAAACATCCTCAGAAAATTTTTAGATTTTTTAAAAATTAACTTTTTGTAATAAAACAGCTCTGGCAAGTGGACAGAATTTTACGTCCACTCGCAAAAATCAACTAAAATCCTGCGTTTTTTCATATCTTTCAATCATTTGTTATCGCTTTTGGCTCTGGTTGCCGTTTTTTAGTGGTGGGCCACGAGAACAAGTTGTACGCCCCGGTAATGGGGTTCTGACGCCTACAGGAGCATCAAAACGGAGTTCGGCTTGTTTTGGCTGGTAATTCCTAAATTCCGGTTCTGGAACCTGTGTGGGACAAAGCCTCAGTCATGCCGGAAGATGTGGCAGCCGGGGCAGATGGTTGGGCAAGGCAGAAAACCGATTTCAAGGGGCCGACGTCAGCGCGGAGTTCGGCTGACTTCAGGATTTAGGGCCTCATCCCGTCGGGAAAAGCCGTTTTGATTACGATTTCGTCCGGAAAGTGTCCGGACACCTCGGCGCGCCACTGGTCCTGATTGGATCGACCGGATTCAATTTAATTTTATTCAGGGCGAGGTTCATTTCCGCAGGTCTTCCTGTGCAAGTGGATTTCAACGCCATAAGAACCCCAGCTTGAAAGTTTCTTAGGATAATTTGGTCTTTCTGTGTTAACAACTAAGAAAACACCCGGATGACCACCGGAGAGCATCGCCTGTACGAAAAACGCGTTCTAGAAATCTTATTGATGACCTTAAAAAGGCGTTTTCTTTCTACAGTCCGACCTTTCCTTATTATACCGAATTTGACACGATTCTTACGCTGGCATTCATTGTTCTGCACGGCATTCCACGGAGGCACGGATAGGACCCCCCGGGGCCGCGGCGCAATCGGTTAGCGCCGATCCCAAATCTCAAACAGAGGGTCCGGGTTCGACCCCCGGGACCAACGTGCAACCGCTATTTCTCCCCAAAACCTTTGCCAAGCTTTTGCGTTTTGCTTAAAAACTCTGCTCCAGCCATTGAAAACTGCTAAAACAATAAGGATCTGAAAAAATTAACCCGATCAAAAAAGAGACGGTTGATCCACTGGCGTCCATTTTCGCAAAACAGTCACTTGGAGCCATTTTAAGCGTCGATTTCACGCACTGGGGGGTAATCGACCTTGATTTTTACCAAATCTAGGCTCAGATTTCAGCGACGATCCTTGGTTTCTGCGCTATTTAAAACCGCACAAAATCCTGAACTGAACTTCAAAAGACCATCACAAAAAAGTACCAGAATAGATTTTCGATAGTTAGGTCTCAAAAATTGCGCCTTGGCGTCTAGAATATTTAAATCTAATTGAGTTTCTAATTTTTCTATTACATTTCGAGAAAAATCCAGTTTTGTCCAAAAATTTGTTCATTTTCGAACAAAAACGTAGCGAGCGCGCTGTCCCCTTGTGCAAGGGAGCCTGCCGTAGCCCAAAAGCTATCCGTGCCTGTCTGTTAAAGCCTGGAAAGGCGTGTCTGCAAAACCCGATGATGCGCCGAGGTGTCCGGACACTTTCCGGACGAAATCGTAATCAAAACGGCTTTTCCCGACGGGATGAGGCCCTAAATCCTGAAGTCAGCCGAACTCCGCGCTGACGTCGGCCCCTTGAAATCGGTTTTCTGCCTTGCCCAACCATCTGCCCCGGCTGCCACATCTTCCGGCATGACTGAGGCTTTGTCCCACACAGGTTCCAGAACCGGAATTTAGGAATTACCAGCCAAAACAAGCCGAATTCCGTTTTGATGCTCCTGTAGGCGTCAGAACCCCATTACCGGGGCGTACAACTTGTTCTCGTGGCGGTTGGCGGTCACGATTTCGAAAATCACCATTTCGAAAATCACCATTTCGAAAATCACCATTTCGAAAAATCACCATTTCGAAAATCACCATTTCGAAAATCACCATTTCGAAAAGACACCATTTCGAAAATCACCATTTCGAAAATTACCATTTGGGAAACACAGGATTTAGCAATATCCCATTTCCCAGTCGCAGAAAAAATGATTTTCGTTGGCTGGTTTGAGGTTCGGGGGTCTATTTTTCCACTGGAGATATGATTAATTTCATCATAGACACCACTAAAACAATTTCTATTACATCACTAGTCATATCCGAGAAAAACCGTGGTTTTTCGACACTGCAATTTTTATGCCTGTTTGAAGAACGGGTCTTTTCGAACTGGGGATTTTTTCGAAATGGTGTTTTTCGAAATGGTGTTTTTCGAAATCGTGACTTTCGAAATGGTGATTTTCGAAATGGTGTCTTTTCGAAATGGTGTCTTTTCGAAATGGTGATTTTCGAAATGGTGATTTTCGAAATGGTGTCTTTTCGAAATGGTGATTTTCGAAATGGTGATTTTCGAAATGGTGATTTTCGAAATCGTGACAGGGAATCCTCGTGGCCCACCACTAAAAAACGGCAACCAGAGCCAAAAGCGATAACAAATGATTGAAAGATATGAAAAAACGCAGGATTTTAGTTGATTTTTGCGAGTGGACGTAAAATTCTGTCCACTTGCCAGAGCTGTTTTATTGCAAAAAGTTAATTTTTAAAAAATCTAAAAATTTTCTGAGGATGTTTAGAGTGCCAGTAGATGCCTACTTGGGTGTAATATACTGCCAAAAAGTGGCTTCCGCGACACTCCTTCCTGCTCACCAAAACACCGAAAAAATCAGGTGGACGTAAAATTATGTCCAGCAGTGTATTTCGTGTACGCCATATGACAATTTTCATTTGCTGTTCTTATTCAAATTTTCGTTGAAAATTATTGGTTAAGCCAGTAAAGTTCAGTTTCCACCCCGGCTAACAGTCACCCGCGGGAATTTCAGGAGGAGCCGCAGGAGATGGGCAGCGAAATTGTGGAAGGAATGTGCAAGGCAATGCGTGGTGGCGAGCCAGCGATACACGAAATTGGCGACATTTGTTTGCGACACGCTCTCTTTTCGGAGTGGGCATACAGCAATGCCTCTCCTCTTCTCGTCAGCGGGCAATTGGTGAGTACCGTTTTCCGCACAGTCCTCCTGCTCCTATTTCTACCACATACACAGCCTATTTGGACCTTTTCCGGTTGCCTGGTCGGCTGCCGCGCACCCATTCACGCCCCATATTTCAGTTCCGTTCGCCTGGGCGATAATAGCTTTTTGGCTGGGGTTGAAGGTTTTATTTTTATACTTTTATACTTTAAGGGATTGATAGTACTTCAGGAAAATTCTGACGTTTTGCAGCTTCAGAAAAAACCCCGATAAAAGTTTAAAGTATCCGAAATACGGGAAAACCGAGTTTTTTCATGGAAAACGCTTTTCTTTACCCTAAAGCCGCTCAAGAATAGGGCAGACCAGCGGAGAAACTTTAGGATCAGGCGGATGCCCGAGTTTTGCAGGTATCCGCCGAAAAAAGCACAAATATTCGTCCTGATCAAACTTTCTAAATAGGATTTTTTTCCTGGAAACGCTTTTTATTGACCTAAAATCCATAAAAAAATATGGCAGGCTAGCAGAGAAACTTTGGGATGAAGCGGGATGCCGTCCTGATCTCTGGATGACCTTTTAAGCCATGAAACTGTATTTCACATTACTCTCTCTCTCTCTCACTCTCACTCTCTCTCTCTCCTCTCTATTTGACTCATACCGTCATTATAACAACAACAGGTATATCGACTGCCCTCTCTTTGGTTTTTGTTAGATTTCGGTCCAGGGCCCTCTCCTCCCCCAGCTGCCTGCCAGCAAATGGCCTCAACCCGTTGCGCGCGGAATTCGCCTGTTTTTCGGTCCGGTCAGCGCCCCCAACACGCGCGTTCCGGTGGCCTTGAAACGGGACCTGGGCGCATAACTCTCGCGCCAAGCTATGTTCGTTTTTCGGGGGAGTTCGATTGGCAATGGGCGTGAATTTGGGGGCTGGCAGCAGATCTAAAGCTTTCTTAACTTTATAAGGGTGGAACATCACGTTTTGACGAGTTGAGTTTTATCTTTGCCTGTAAAAACGCCGCTTAGTTTGATGACCGTTCTTTTCCCCTGATCGGGAATAATCTGTTTTAGATTTTTCATACCTTTGACAAAAAGTCGCATATTTTCGAATTTTAAAGGGTTTTATCTACTTTTGCGATTTAAAAACTGTGTAAAATGTGATGAAATAGTCTATTGTTCGTTATAGGGTCGTCGGGTTTACGGGAAATAGCCTTCTGCCATCTTCTATTTTCCACCCCTTTTGCGATTAAAATTCGTTAATTAATTCTCAATTTATTATTGAGCAACTTTTACTCTTTTTTTTAGAAGATCAAACGACAAAACGAAGACCAGCAACATGGAGCTGTTACGGCAGTCGGTTTGGCTTCGGCAAAGAAGTTTGAGACGCGCAGAATTCCATCACCAGCCGCAATCATACTTTTGTGAGTTTCGTTAGCTAGGATTTAAGATATTGATTTTGATATTTATTGTTTATTTATGTCATTTTATATTCGATTTTTCAGCCCGTCCCCTATCTTTCACGTCTCGAAGGCGTCCAGCTCCTCCCCGGCCCGTCGCTGATCATCCGCAGGATTATTTGTGGTAGTTTTCTGCCGGAATCCATAGATTGCCTTGCCTTTAAAAACGCAAACGCCAAATCCAAGCTGGCACAAATGCTATTATTTTTGAGGTTTTTAGCTAGCTCCACATCCCCAGGCCACGAACAATTTCTCGTCAACCTCTCCAGCGGACCTCGGGTTGAAAAGGAACGGAGAGCAGTCAGCTCGATGATCGGTAAGAAATTTTCTTCTTTTTCTCGTTAAAAAGTTTTTGTAGTGAAAAATATTCTTTTTCGTTTATTTTATCAATTTATTTGC